TTACCAATTTTTTTTCTTTTCTTTTCTTATATACCTCTCCACTATCACATAAATGCAGCAAGATCAACCAGACAAGTGCAACTAAAGCAATCTTGGAAATAACAGGAATAAAGTAAGATATCCCTCAACCCTTCCTTCAGTACGCAAACAAAAAGTTGCTAAACAGTACAAGCCAGCCAACATGAAAATCTCCAGCATTGTTCTCTTAGTGATCCTGATTTAAAAGGCAAAAAAATTGGAAAATGCAGGGGAGGAAAATAAAGGCACAGACAAGTACAGTTTTAAGGACAAAAATAAATTCTCATGTAGGGCATTGTATCAAATTTCCAAAGCTTTTTCTGATGTATACCAGATACCTTCTCATTGATTCAACTAACAGAGGATATAGCAGTCTATTGACCCAGTTAGCGTAGCTACAAGTTGTATGTAAGTACGCAGACACATATTAAACACATTTTGGAAACAAAAAGTAGTTTTTAGTACATCACTCCTCTCAACATGGCTGTAGCAATGCTGCCAATTGTGCTGCAGTTTAATATAGATTTCCTATGGAAATTAATTCCACATGCTGAAGGCTTACTGGTTAATGCTGATGAGTCACTCATTTATCTGTTTTGCATTTGTTGACTGTCAATGTTATAGAATAACCCTCACCTTCTCTTGTTATGAGACAGTGAATAGTAGCTCCTCATGTTTCCTCTCTTCAGTAGTTTCCAATAATTGCCTTATGCTTCCCAAGGAAATTTTACAGTGTACTATATTTTTTTTCATACAGACCTCAAGATCTTCACACTCTTATTTAGTCTTTTTTGTTTCATATGAAGTTTTTGAGGCAATCAAATATTTATAGTATAATTAGTAAGCTCCTAAATTGTAGAGTATATTGTTAGTATTTTCCTTATCAGTCTGTTTCCTTGCAGATAAAAAACAGTTGTTAGGTGAAGACATGTAAACATCATAGCTAAAATGAGAGTGGATGTTGTGTATTTGCTTTCTCTGTGTGATCTCATGTTCTCATGTAATTGTGCAGAGCTGACTGAGCGTGCTAAGGGTATAGTTCAGTTTGAGATGGAGTTTTGCAAGGAAAGTATTGTTAACCAAAGTTGGATCCTCTTACTTTGGTTTTTATTCTACTCTATTCTACTTCAGCAAGATTTCACCTGGGAGATTTGCAGCTCAGAAACAGCCTGAAGTCATTGTCTCACATTAAGGAAGCATATCTAGGGAGACCAATTTCCCTTCTGTGTTACCAGTGCTCTTCGTGTAAGTGATAATTATAGGTCAGGGCTTCGTTCTCAGCTTACCACAAAAATCGTGAAACTATTAATGTCCACTGAGTTTCTCCCAATACAATAGAGATTTCCAAACCCTGCAATCAGTTAGGATAAATATTACAATTTTGTAAATGACCTTCTGAGGATCCTGGTGACCATATGTTTGAATCCCAACATGCATACTGGACATCAACAGCACATTATTTCCAAACAGATTATGAAATTGGTTTTGTTAAAAGCAACATTTGGTAAAAAGTCCTTTTGCGAATTAATTCCTGCACTTAACAGAAAGCAAGAAAACAATTGTTTCCTGTAATTGGACAGTTTGATTAGAGGCAGGTGGTGCAGAGCTGAGAAAACTGGAGCCATGAAGCCAATTTTAACATCAAGAACACTTCCTTTTCTTTAGGATCCAGAAGCATAACATGTAAATTGCTTCCCCAAAAAAAAAAAAATCAGTTTCTATTTATTATCCCTTCTGGTACTCTATCCATAGTACAAGTCTGCAGCTTAGAAAGAGTTGCACACTTGATGCTCATCATACACAATGATACAGGTATAAAAAGGACAGAGACTTAAGAGGAAAAAAAAAGAAAAAGTAAAAAGAAAAAATGTTTAAAATTTCCTTGAAAGGGTAGGCAAGACGTGGTGCTGTGGCAGGGACCTTTTCTTGTAAACCCCAATTCAAACAACATACCCTCACTAATTATCAACTGTAGCTTTATTACTTGTATTACCAGTAGTCTGAGGAGTCCTAATGATGAACCACTGTTCTGGGCAGCATACAAAGAAGCATCTTGGACTGCAGTAGAATTATATTTAAATTGTCTCTTGTTGAAATTTCAGTGTGTATCAATCTCAATTACCACACAAGTAAATACAATAACCAGGTCTACTCACCCAGCCTCAGCCCACATTAAGCCAGACACCATATCTACTTAAGAAGAAACTGAAGTCCTGACATAGGATGGGAAAGAGGTTGACCATTTTATATACAGCTGATGTTAAAGAACACAGAATACTGAACATTGAACTGAGATAGAATTAGTTTTCTTCTTTATAGCCCACTCCACACTGATCATTCACAAGACTATGGCTTAAACAACTGAAGGATAAAAGCCCCAGGGACAAATTTGCTGCTGGTGTAGGCCAACATATAACTTTGATCAGTATGACGGCACACCAGGAACTGCCAGTGCCACCAACCTCTCTGGAAGCTGACTCCTCGTGTGCTGAGGTGGGAGATGCTCATCACTCCCATTCTGACACGGTGCAGAGGACGTGACCTCATCCCACCCACTCCGACCGAGAGCCCGCGGCACATCTTGTCAGCGGCGAGAACAGGAAGAGCGCGCCGCGCTGGGCCCGCTGCGTGGGAGGAGGAAGCCGCCTTGGTTAGTGTCACCCAGCGCGACTGCGAGCGCTGCACACTCCCACTCCAACCACCTGCATCCTACCAGCGAGCTGCACCTCTCATCTGGACTGAGACGCTGTGTGAGCACAAATTTACCACCCCATGCTGCCGGGAAGGGGGAGGCCTGTGCAAATGGTGGCACTAAACCACTAAGCGTGGTGAGCAATGTGGTGGCAGGAAGGAGCTTCTCAAGTGCAAGGCAAAACTTGCAAGGGCCACTCCCAGGCTTGTGAGCCTTCCCTGTCACCCTGCTCACAGCTGGGCCCCATTCCCCTGCCTAGCCATGAGTGTGGGAGTGCCTTTGGGCAAAGCTTCCTCCAGAAGCACTGTCTAGTGAAGTACATTAGCAAAATACATGCAGATCGGGTCAGAAGCATCAGCAGTGTGATCACAGTGAGGGCTGCCACCTGTGCAGAATACAGGTGGATGCCTTAAAACGTGTGACAGGGTAGAACAAACCAGCCCAGCTGGTGCTGGAATGAGAGACAAGTAACACACATGGATATGTTGGTACTATTACAACAGCATTATTTTCACAAGGAAGATAAGTACTGAACAATATCTTTACTGTACCAGGCACACACTTAGCTTCAGTCAGCATCAGCCATGCATGACCTCTTCTCCATCTATTCTTTCCCTCTATAAGGTATTTATTGCAGGCATGTTTGCAGGGCAAGTGACTTTCTGCATCGGTACTTGCACCTCTTAAATGAGAGTAACATGCTGTATATTATACCTCAAATATTTATAAGCTAGACTTAGAAACAATGTAAGAGTAAGGGACAGCAGAAATTCCAAGTGGTTGCTTAATGCCAGAAAAAATGCTCTTTGTTAAAGAAAATCACTATTTATCAGAAACAGAAGTGAAGCTATATGAAATCTAGGAATGTCTTCATGCCTCTAACACACTTCATTGGTCAGTGCTAGTAACTTGTGAGTTCCAGGTCAAAATATCATCTGTCTTTTTCTTAGTTGTCCCAAAATTGTCCTTACTTGGCCATTAATTCTTCCAGAGTGGTGCAACCAGGATCCAGAAAGATGATTGTCAAGCCCAGCATTGGTTCAGTAGTGACCAGACAAAAGGATTTGATATAATAGTTAGAATCAACACCCACAAGATGGGAAATTAAGCACTTTCTGAGCAACTCCTGGAGCTCAAGCCATCCTTGGCAAGTCTCTAAGACACCCACTAAGATGAGAGGAAAAGGAGCCGTTCTGAACATAACACTCTGGATGCTGGTCTGGAAGAGGCTCCCTAAAACTAGAAACCTGCCCCTCAGCACTGAATAAGCTTGATCATCCTGTGTTACATTTATAATATCCACTTACTCCATAAGATTCGTAAATTTAATTTAAGCCCAATATCAATCCACCAAAAGTTCATTTCCTCTGAGAAGCCAAAACAAAAAAAAAAAAATCTCTTTGGTAGAGACAGTATTTCTCAGGCAATCATGCTGACTGTGGATAATAAAATCCCACTATTTAAGCTCTCTCACTGTACTCCTCTTCAGGTTTTCCAGCCTCCTCCAAGTGGATATTTCCTCTTCTCATACTACAATATTTACCTGAATGATGCAAAAGCAAAGCGATACACTGAACAAACATGGAATAAAGTCAACACAGATTTTAAAGATGTTTGGGCATTTAGCTCCCTTGGCATTAGGAACAGGACATCTCACAAAATCTGGTTGTTAGAGTGGGACTGGAACACAACTGCATTGGTCTGTGCAGCTGGAGTCAGATGGTCATGTTTGAAAACAGTCTTTTATCACCAAAGAGGAGAGAAAGCAGGCACAAATCAGCTAGACATAACATCAACAGCTATGCAAGGGAGGAGGAATTCCTGTCCTTATTTTGTTAAATCTCTAGCAATTCTAGCCTAACTAGGCCTAGTCCAGGAGCAGCTGCTACTGAGAAATGCAGTCTCCTCCCTAACCTGCTATTTTCCACTTCAGGCACAAGACACCTCTCTCAGTTCATCCTGTTGCAACAAATATTCTACAGCACACACACTAATAACAACACAAAGATTCTACTAAAACGAGCCCTCCAAGAAACACTGGCTCTCCTGGGAGGAGAAGCTGAGAGAGCAAAAACACTATGGCTCTTTTTACTGAAGGTGCTCAGATACTCCAGCTATGAGTGTGATGCAGAAACAGAAATTAAATAGAAATCACCCAGCAGACAAGACTCTGATCTACTTGGATTCTCTCTAGGTCATCACTGACATTTCACACTTTTGCTAGTCCTCCAGCACCTCCCAGTTTTCTCATGTTTTCCCAATTGCCTCAGAATTCAGAGAAACTGGTTACCTAGGCATGGGTTATATCGACCTTGAGAAATTGAGTTTCCAGGCATTTCGATTTCATGATCACCTGTGCAGGTCTGATCCTGATCTTCTCTAGTAATTCTCTTTTCTCCCTTGGGAAATTTCTGCCATCTGTTCCCTTATTCTTTCCTGAAAATGGAGGCAAAAATATAGCTTTTAGCAACACCCTCAGTAAATGCATTCACTTTCTCTCATAGGCCATATCATCTCTTTCAGTAGCCTGTTACTCAAAATGCACTTCAAGCAAATACATTTAACTGTGTTTTAAAGTGAGCAAAGGTTTCAATTACCAGTTTCATTCTTGCCCAGTGCATATATTTATTTCAAACACTTATGCATGTTTCCTTTCATTCACCATCTGTCTTATTTTATTTCCATTCACTCTTTCTGTTATGCATTGTCATCTAATGTAGAGCATTATAAAGGAAGTCAGGTCTTCTAATTCAACCACTTATCCCTCAAACTCATGGTGTGACCCTGTGTGTGTCATTAAGCCTTAATAAGCCTCATTTCCTACCTTTAAAAAGGTTATTGCCTGTTTGAACCATTACATTAAAATTGTTCAATTTAATCAGAGTAGCAACACTTTATAAATGTTAGGTACTATTTCCATTTCATGCCAATCATGCCACCCACATTAATAAACTCCTTTGTGTTTACTTCTGGGCTCATACATATGTCAGAATCTACTCTCAGGCTCTGGGTCCACAATAAACAGGTAAAATTCACTTCGTAGAGATCTGTCTTGCTCCTGAAGAATTTTCCCTTCTCAAAAGCTTTCCTCCAAAAATTATCCTTCATGAAAACATGCAGAGAAAACCTGTTAAAAAGAAACTGATTTTTTGAGCTGAACAACAGGTAATGTAACTAGTTTGGTCACCTATTCGGCTGATTGCTCTCTTTTTTTAGTAAGAGTATCTAAATGTACAGGTACTCCCAAAGCATTTTTTAATACATTGCAATCAACACCAAAACGAGGAATGATACTCTAGGAAAGATAATTTAGGGATGGACCCCATCTATTTATTTGTGGCTCAAAGAGCTACAGAAAGCCTGTAACACTCAAATAGTGGTAATGAATTGAAAATTCACACAAAGTGTTTTGCTTTGGCTTGTTTGGGGTTTTGTTCAAGTTTGGTTTTTTAACTCTAGTATGATACAACTCTAAACTGTTGGCAGAGATAGGTTACTCTTGTTTTAGTTTTGAAGTCTCATTAATATTTAGCTCCACAAATTCTAGTTTCTTTAGCAAAGCAAAAATATCTTTCCTACTCAGAGTAACTCAGCAAAACCTCATTTGGTTACTGCCACTGGAAACTTTGCAGTCACAAGTCCAGGTGGCCTTTGTGCTTCAGGCAATAATTTGCTAACACCTTTACACTTCAAGCCCCAGCTACATTCCTGACATGCTCAAAACTCCTATAAACATCTTTTGTACATTAGAACATCCAAGAAATACAGAATCAGACCCAAGGACAGCAGAGCATGTGTTGTACAGTTTACTGGGGTAGAAACATCTCAATTATCATTTGTCCTTGCTTGTAGGAGGTTATATCAGCTCTTCAGGTCTGGTTGCTCTAGCAGAGAGAACTGCCTATCAGTTGCTTTCTGTTATAAAGTCAGACAGTGTCTGCTCTGGGCACCTTCAGTAACACACATGGGTGGGACATAGTTTATAAGTGGAAGAGTTTGGGGATTTTTGTTATTTCTTTGAAGTAGGAAGGCTTGATCAATGGCTTGTCCCTAGGCATTGAAAAGACTGGAGCAGAGTTGAGTGCCTATTTCATGTCTAATATTTCTCTGTCTAATCTCTGACCAGATAAAAAAGAATAGGGAGGAAACACAGTCATGACACTTTACCTCAGTGAATCTGTAAGGCAAAATGACTCACATTTGGGCATTTAGTGCTCCATAGCAGGAGCAATCCAGGCAACTTTAAAGCTCTGAAAACCTCAACATTTTCTCTAAGATGCACTTCACCTCTTTTTTTTTTTAGTGATTCCTGACTAGTTGTTACAAAGCTCATAGCTGCCATATATACCTCTGTAAGAATGCAATTACTTTTCTGTCCTGGCCCCTTAGATTTTTCCCCTCAGCCAACATTCATGAGTTTTTTCCAGGATTTTGTTTTCTAAAATTTTCCTTCTTCCTACAACATCAAAGCTATCTATTTTTTAGGTCACCTGGTGTCTCAAGGCCTCACCACTAGTTTCTTCCCATCTGATTCTCTAAACCTCCTGCAGAGATCTCTGCCCACTAACCACTATTAAAGAGCAAGCAGAGGCTGCAGAAGATCTGACACCTCAGCAACTATTTTGTTTGTTCTCAAGGTGTGAGTGACTACTATCTTTCATTCATCACCCAAAGACAACTATATACATTTACCAGCCAAAAGAGCACTGCTACATAAATACTAGTGCTAGCATTACACAGATTGTTACATCTATTCTAGATGGATAACATTTCTCTGCTGTCTTCTGCAAGTCTTTCTTTGACTTCAGGCCTTAATTTTTCCTTCTTCCCTACACGAGGATATTTCTCCCTGTGCTCTATTTTCACAACAAACAGTACAGCACCTCCCAAGAGGTTATGGATATATTTGGCAACATCAGGCTCTTCTACTCCATCTTTCCCACGAGTTCCTTACACCTAGAGCTCAGCCATCAGCCTGCTGCAACTTTCACTCCTCCCATATATCTGCTTGAGAAGTGCTGAGTAGCATTAACTTGCTCAAACCTCTCACTTTTGCAGTCACCCAGCTTTGGAGGCCTTGTCCCAAGGCACATCTCCCTGCAGTGAAATACTCACTTCTTTAGACTCACACGTGGCAGACTCATCCCCCAGAAAAAAAAAAGGGAAGGGGCTTGTTTCACCTACAGACCTTACAGGCTCAGCTGATCCCCTGGTAGAGGAAGACATGTAGAATAAGTATTGCTGCCATAAATTGTAGGTAGTTAAAAGAAAAAGAACCCCATGGAGATATCTGAAATCTAATCTCAGACAGGCAGCAATCTAAAATAAACTACAGCTGGTGTTTCAGCTTTGATTCTGCTGCCACCAAAGGCAAATGGCACAATTCCCATTGATTCCAATTAAATCATAGACTAGGTCCTCTTCTTACTCATCTTTCTTTTTTTGATGCCTCTAATTTTTTGATGTAAATTTCCCTGGAATACTGCTCTTAGGACCATAAAAAATTCCTGAGAAATCCATACAAGTGCAAATCTTGGTACTATTTTTTTAACAAGAAAATAGGGAAGATTTTTAACTCTCCTAATTAATGGGGTGAAAGGAAAAGCAGCATGGTTTTGTGCTAATGGTTTAGTTGGTTTCACTGGTTAGGGCTAGAATCTGTCCTAAGAACCAACATACCTTCTCTGCATCTCTACACTTCAGAATAAAGCACTCTCTTATGACAGTGAATACATACATGCAAGAATGCAACTTTTAACCATTTTGCAGCTGGTGTTTAACCCCTTTTGCATCTAGCTTGCATGACCTTGATATGCCTTATCTGCCAAAGCAGAACATGCACACACTTGTTTTTAGGCTGCACTCACACACCTGCACGGAGGAAGCTGTGGTGCTGTGCAACATCCCTGCATTGGCGCTGCCATTCTTGTGGGAGTTGCATTGCCACAAGTTATGCAGCTTTTTGCTTCTCTCACTGTTCTTACAAGGACAGCCAGAGGGTCTCTTGGTTTCCACTTCAATGGTGACACAGAGCATGACACTGAATCTATGCTGTGGGCAGTTCAGCTGCAGCTGTTTTCAGACATTGCCGGCAAAGTTTCAGGGTTGTCAGCTCCCGCATTTTACTGGGCTCCTTGTCCTCTTTCCTGGAGGCCTGCCCTTGAAACTCTGGCCTTCATGGTTGCAGAGAAAAGCCTGAAAACACAGAATCTCACAGTATTTTTAAGTGTGACTCATGACTTTTTGCCATGAAGGGCACATACGATTGCCTCCTTTCAACTTCCCTTTGTCTCTTTGCATGCAGCCGCACCTGCAGATGTTCAGGGAGGAGTGCCTGCACTCATCCACCCTAAAAGCAGCTTCTGTGTATGCAAAAGTCAGCACCCGCTTGCACAGGTGTCACTATTCCCAACGGGCGGGTGCAGAGGTTCTGCTTGATGGGGCTACATGTGTATAAGCAGCTGCCCCTTTGAGCAAACTAGCCTCTGAACATCACATTTTAGCAAAATAGAACAGCTTTTTCCATGAGCTCCATCCACAGAACATTTTTTTAAGTAGTTTTACAATGTTAGATAAATAGATATTTATCTCAGACTTTTTTTCCACTTTCACTATCTGACCTTCGCAGTTATTTCCCACAAAGCCCAGAGCTCAGTTAGCTGTTTCTAATGGCTGCTGTTCAGAGTGCTCAGCTCACAGAGGAAGAACCAGCCCAAACCAACACCAGGGCAGAAGGGATTAGAAGTGCCTGTCATCATTACCACCAATCCTTCTCAGCTTTCTCCAGGGCCTGGGGGATGTATGTCCCTGGTCCTATAACCAATGTGGCTGGGATGCTGGCAGGCCAGTCAAGGAACAAGCCACTCTGCCCTGTACCCCCTCCCAAACGAACGTTCCCTCCTGACTTCACAGCAAGCCAGGGTCTTATAGCAACACAAAACCAAAAACCTTTATAATTTAAGTTCGTCTTAAGACAGATTTTAAAAAGATATACCAACAAAAATGTCACAGAGCTCTGTCATTTTGCCTCAAAGAATGCAAAAGAGGTTTGATCCTTCTCCAGACCAAAAGGCCAGAGCCTTGACCCACCCCAGCAGAATCCCATCCTGGGACTCTAAAGGCAGAAGACCTTCAGCAAGCTGGCAACAAGTTTTCTGTATCAGGCAGATAACCCAAAGCACCTTGCTGCTTTCAGAGCACTACAGAGTGAGCACAGACCCTAATCTATCTTTAAACTCCCTGGATCATTTAATGCAGAAATGACACTAAGTGATGATATCCACACGATGGCAGCCCCAAGGGAATGTGCCCAGAAGTGGCCTCAGACAGCTTCAGCACAAAGGTGCCCAAAGAAATCTTCTCTCCAGATACCTTTAATAACAACGCCTATGACTCAGAGAGCACTTAGCAGTGAGTGTGGAAGGTAGCTGAGCATCATTACCCTGTTCAAATGGGGAAAACCAGACTCACTAGGCTAAGTGATTTGCCTGCAGCCCCAGAGCACCTGGCAGACCTCAGAGCAGGAACTGAGGCTAGGGCTATGGTGTGCTAATTCATGGCACAGAGCCAGTGCATCCCACCTGCCTCAGAGGGGTCACAGTCCACTTGCTCCTCTGCATGCATGAGGTGAGTGTGACCCCACAAATTCTCTTGCTTGGAGACAGGATGAAATATAAATTTAACTTCCTACTATTGCCATTAAATATGTTCCACCAGCCTAGCCCTACCATATCAGTATGGAATACATGAATATAATACAGAATAGAATGCTAAAAAATAAAGTGTAAGTGGCTGGATTCAGTAATGCCAATAGTTGCATTCAATAAAGTAACATGTTTGTGATTATGGAATTTTGCTAGACACATTCTGAAGATAACATCTTATTTGTACAATGAATGGTTAGGCTAATCAGTGCAAGGGTTTAAATAGTCTTAAGTACATTAGCATAATCACTCATGAAGCACATGTAGTTTATAAATGAATTAACAACTACAAATTAAAGAATAAGCGTCTGCTTTTTAAAGCATCTGCCTTTTTTCTTTAAGGAGAAAAAAACTAAAGTTGAGCATTCTGATTTTCAAATGCTCTCAGACTGTGCAGTGTAGAAATGCCTGCTTGCACCCTCCACTCCTCAGCAAGCTCAGCCCCCAGGAAGACCCAGGGGCAGCTCAGAGGAGGTAGGACTCTGTGCATGGATGAAGCTTTGCAGATCCCAGGAACTCTCATCAGTTCTAACTCATTCCATTTCAAGAATTTTTTTTGCGGTGTTGGGGTTAAATTGTTTTAGGTTTTTAAAGTGCTTGTACCTTTCCACACTTTAATAAAAGGTGCATTTTTATTAATAGGATGACTTTAGAGACCTATTGAGTCTTCTGAAGTGAGCAGGATGCATGGTTTCCACTCTGTTCTCCCTCATTCCCACACCTCTTCTTCATGTATTGAGCAAAGGAGGACGATGACTTCTTCACTTCTCCCTGAGGTCAAACATACCTCAGCCAACCATTTCCCTCAGAGAAGAGGAAGAAAAGTGCCTACATGCCTATACTTCTTAAGCCTATACTGAAGAAACCCCAGCTGGAAAGACCCTCTCCAGCCCTATATCACAGCCTCCATGGAACATGCAAAGATGCACACATGATGGAGGTACAGATGTTCCCATTTCCTCGTATAGAAACTGAAGGGGTAGGATTCTTACAAAAAGTGACATAGGAAGGGGAATAAGAAATTGTCACTGAGAATGAGAGACACAAAACAGGAATGAGGAGACCGAACCAGAGCAAGGTTCTTTTCAACAGAACTGTTAGTGAAATGTAGGAGTTTGTTGCCAAAGGACACTGTAAATAGTGCATGGTTTCAAGATGCAGTTACACAAATGAACAAGACGGATATCCATTTGGGTACTAGACATAGACTTCATTGGCTTAGGAAGGCAGGAAATTGATAAGGAAATATTCTTGCTTCATACCTTATATACAAGGAAATATTCCTGCTGTATACCTTTCTCTAAGCATCAGATTGACCATTGTCAAAAGACAGTGCCAGACCAGCCATTTATGTTCTTGTATTTTTTTACTTCAGAGTGGCACAGGTGCAAAATGAGAACTGCATTTTCCAAAAGACAAAGCACAGGGTAAAATTTTACCCCAAGGAGACAGGCTTGTCACTTAACTTTCTTGCACAAGATCACTTGAACAAGATCATTCAACTCATCCCGTAGCACTCACTCCACCCACAAAACACAGCAGCAGTGGGTGTGTTGGGGCTGTGGTAAACACCTCTTGCCCCCTCACTGTCCACCCCAGCCTGCAGACAGCCCTGATGAAGGACACCAGCAGTCTCATCAATCTTTCTCATGCCGCAGTTTCATTGTGAGCAATTGTCAACTATTTGTGGGTAGAGCAAAAATTTAGTAAACACATTTCTTTTTTTGTTATACTACTACTACTACTTGTTTTCCCTATGGAAAAAGAAATACTAGCGAAGCATACTTAGCCCTTCACACTCATCTATTCTTCAAAGGTGAATTTGCTTTTTATTTTGGATAGATTTGTTTTGGTTTTTTTTTTTATCTTCCTGACTGTCTGGGAAGCACTGCAAGGCAGTAATCAGGAGCCTTGCACGAGAAGTCCAATCTTCTGGCCCAAATCCCTAGTAAATGTACTGCTATTTTCATCTTAGATTAAGGGCAGCCCAGCCACCTCTCACACTGAGAAGTATTAAAAATACTTCCCTCCGTTCTCAGAAAGAGAATAATCTAAACTCTCAAACTAACTGAACTGAAAAAGAAATAAGAAAAAAAAAAGAAGAAAAAAGAGGAAGCTTTAGCATGAAGAGCTATTATTATGTCTTCTCACATTTTGCTGTAGCTAAAAGCATGAGTTGTATATATAACTAATGCACCACCCACCCAAGCAAAAATACTTGCTTGAAAAAGTAAAGGCATGCCTGTCAGAACTCATCCTCTTCCATTCAGTCTCCATTGTATATTTTTGTTCCTGTCATAAATTAGCCCACTACTTCTCAGGTGATTCTGGCATTTCAAATTTGAACACAGGACATGCTCAAGTAAAATCATATAGTAGCTCCACTAGCAGTCTGAACTCACAGGGAGCTGGTACTCCACAAAGCAAAACCGAAATGTGAAGGTAATGGGGTGAAAGTTTGAGGCCTGCCCTCCACTTGCACTCACTCACACGCATTAATGTTTCCATCCTGGCAGCTATAAACACTGTTTACCATCAAACACCTGCAACAGATTTCCAGCACTCTCATGCCTGCAGTCTAGGTTGCATGTAATCTGTTTTGTATGCTAGTAGACAGCAGAAACCGAATACTGCCCTGGAGGGCTATGGTTTGTAGGTGGAGCTGCCTGGTCACATCTTTCTTAGTACTCTCATTTCTGTCTTTCTCCTTCAAAATTCTAAATGCCCTTTTCAGTGTCAGCACCGACTGAAATTCTTTTTTTCATTAAGCGTAGCTAACATCTACATCAGTCTAAGCTGTAATCATTTTCTGGTTACACAGGCAGACTTTCTGTGAATAGGAAAACAGAAAGATATACCTGAGACACCTCTCAGTCAGTCAAACAGTGTCTTTGCACAAGCATCTTGCAGTTTTAGCTCTAGAACCAGGCTTACAAAGATAGAGAGGAAACCAAAGGGACTTTACTTCATCTCTTCATGAAAAGATGGCACAGTCTGTGACCAGCCATGCTTTTGGAAGGCAGTGGTCACAAATTCTTGGAATTTCCTTGAATTGTAAAACAAGGTTGAGAATTTCTAGGCAAGACTCAAAATATTTAGCAACTTTACAGGTGGTTTTACAAGGATGTTGCAGTAGATCTTGGACCTCTGTTGTACACCATTGCTAATGTCAGGATAAAGAGCAGGTCTTCTCACTACTTCTGCTGCTTTATGAATCTCAAAACAAGCTCAAGTTCACTGTAGTTGGCTCAGATCCTAACTTTCACACAAAAGGAAATTATTATCCTGTAACATAATCTGCAGGAAAAATCCTAATGCCATGCATTTTTCCTGGACCAGGTGACCTCCCTAGCTGTCATATGCTTCTCCATCATGCCCTTATGATGCACCCTAATTCCTCCTTAACAACCCATGACAGAAACCCGGGTAGAGTGGGATGAGAGCATAATTTCCATAATTTCTTGGGTAACTGTTCCTCCAGAATATCTGACATACAGCACAATGTTGCCTGGGCTCCAAGGGAGAGTGTTAATAAATATCTAGGTTGAGTTAGCAAAGGTGTAGAATTTGGGAGCAAGATGCTCCAGCAAGCACCATTATGTACATCTTTTGCAACTTGTAGCTGAGGTCAGCATTAACACGTAGACATAAATAACTGCTAGCACGCAAGAACATAATAAGATATTCCAGAAGATCTCTTCTAAGATGAAGTATTTGAGTCTGCTCCCTAAGCACTGCAAGGTAAATTGCATTCAGGTATTTATCAAGTTCATGAAGTTCAAAGCCATTCCAAGGCTTTGCTGGGTCACAAGTGATGGATGTGATGATACAGCAGAATAAAATCCTGATGCAAGACTTGTGTACTGATTTGATCTGAAACTACAGAAACCACTCTGCTCAACATGGAAGAAATCCCTGGGATTATTCTCTGAGTACAGTTTTGCCATACAGAGCTTATATTTCATAGGCTTGGGGTACACAGGAAGACCCATGTACTACTGAGTCCTTGTGAAAGTGGGGTATAGTTTTCCTATGCTGATTTTTCTGTTTGTTAGAAGTTTAGGGCTTTTAAATCATGCTAATGTGTCTAGAGATTGCAATGGGAGTGTGTTTGAGAAATCCAAAAATAAAATAATGTAATGCAGCCAAATACTTAATTACCAACATGTGCATCTGTTGTCAAACCATACGCTAAGTGAGTGGCACTGCTCATTAGTTCTGCTTTCAGGAGCTACCAGGCGTTCGTGTCATCACTACCAAGAGTCTTCTGAGTCTGAATCATCCCCGGAAAGGACAGATTCTGTCACTCATGCAGTCGCTGTTAACAAGAATGCTGATGGCGTAGCAGGTGTTTCCTCCACTTCTCTAAACCTGGAAAGGTTCTGGCACAGCTTCCCTCCAATTTTCCCTCTTCAGAAAGGAAAAACAATCTTTCTCTCCTGGCTCACATGAGCAGGCAGGCATGTTCCAATAACTCAGGTATTGGATACAATTGCTCCTATTCACTCTGTTGCCTACAATGCTGTGTGATTATCATGCTCTGCTGGGTCCTCAGGAAAGAATGTTGGTTTATCCAGTCCAATCCCTTTTCATGCAATAAAACTCTAGCCCAGTGAAACAGAAGGGGGTCTGTGACGCACAGCAGTAAAAAAGGTCCACTTACTATTTAGCTGACCCATTAATTTGGCAGTGGGTTTGAAATGCTCTTCCAAAGTTGCTGACTGATAAGTCCTTTCAAACCTTTAAGGGCATCTGATATTCTGAAATGGATTTGGAAAACTTTCTGTGCTTTGTCCACATGAAGCAAATGCCAGCTGGGATCTAAAGAAAAGAGCAGAGTGTTACTACCAGGAAAACAGCACACAAGTGCCAAAGAAAGGATAGAAAGGATCTGAGCAATCCCAAATATGGGTTGCAGCTTGATAAGACATTACAGTAAAAGCTCTACAGAACTGGCTGCTCCAGCAGACCCTGAATGTACATCTTGGTTAGCTCTTGCAGTGTTGAGGGTCTAGGGCTGGCTCACTCCTTTCTAGGCATTGTCCAGGAATGGCGCTGATCCCCACAGCTCATGCAGTCAGCGTAGCCTCCTGTGGTTTCAGGCAGGCAGTAGAAGGGCACTGTTTGCCTCACACCTCACTCTGGATGCTCTCCCTTGGCAGCTGTCCACCTGTTCTGGTGCGCAAGAGCTGATCCAGCCCCCACTGAGGATGGAGCAGAGAATCAGGGAACCATAGCTGGGCTTCATCCCAGGTACACCTTTGCTAGATTCCAGTTACATCCCAGCCCAGATCCACTCAGTTCTCCCCCTTTCTCTGAACCAGAAAGTCACAACTTAGGTCTCTTCCCTCACTTTTGAAATGACTTGTGGCCTTTTAGACAGGGTTCTTTATAAAGGAAAAACTCAGCCATTAGCCAACACTGAATGTGGCCAAGCCCAGGCTAAGGTAGTGGCATTTGCATGGGCACAGCAATTTGAGGTTGTCCCCAGCTTGCTGCTACAGGGCTGGAGAGGGCAGGAATTCCTTCCTTTCCTGTGCCCCACTTTTCTGTGGAACAAAACAGGCAAACCAAATTCTTCTCTTTTTTTTCAAACAGTTGAAGATGGCCAAAGCACTCTTTTCCACTCATAATCAAATACACATTTTCTTTTTAGTACAGTGGCTCCCAAGAGCTAAAGTTCAAGCTGGAAGATTGAAAAACACAGCTTAAATCACCAGTAGGACACCTCTGGTGCTGACACTGATGTACCCAGTTTGGAGCTGTTCAGGGCTTGGATAGTACTGGCTCTCCGTGCTCCAGAATTCCCCTCTGCAAGCTTTCCTGTCCCTGCCAGCTGCAGCAACCAACACTGCCTACAGCAAATGTGTCACATATAGGTAGGTCACTAAATATCATGCCCAAATGCAACACAGGACCAGATGCCATTAAGGAAAAGAGAAAAAAAAAGAAAAAAAAAAGAAAAAAAAAAGAAAAAAAAAGAAAAAAATCATGTTGATGTAAGCACTATGCTTTTACTTCCCCAAGTCTGACAGGCCTCCTACACAGCCAGCAGCAAGTAGCTATTTCCCTTGTAATATCATCAACTTTCAGTAATGTTCACTTGCCTGTTTTTAATACCCTCTACAGTCCTTCCTCCTATCCTGTGATAAATCCCTTCCCCTCTACCATTTCATAACTGTCCAGATCTTTTCCTCTCTCCCCACCACATCTGGCCTCTAGACCATTCTCCACTTCTTTCTGTTAGCATTTTCAAAGCTTATCTAGGGCCCAACAGACTTTTTTCCCCTTCTTGGTAGTGGAGGGAGGAGGAGGGGGGACCTGCTGTTTAGCTGGCTTTGGCAAGCCTGGGCAGCTCTAGCTGAACTCCCCAGCCTTCTGCCAAGAACTGTCTAAATAGGAGCACCAGAAACATCTTTTAATGTCATTTGTATTAATATTTTTGGAATTAGACAGACTTGAAATTGCTTTATAAACATTAAAAAGCAAGGAAAATGGTTGGCAACCATGTGAAACTCAAACTGTACCGCACAGAGTACTGTCATAAGAAAGTGACTATAACACGAGCGTCTAAGCCATTTGTATCAAAGGACTATTTTTCCATCACTTTTATTAACAAAGATGTTCTTAAAACAGGATTTCTCTCAGGTTCTGAACAGAAGAAACCATTCCTGTCATCCTAAGCAACATACAACAACAGTTAAATGTATGAGAAGAAGAAGACCCCGTCCCCTCAAGGTATATCCAAAAGGAAAAAAAGGCAGACAAGGATGAAAAGGACTTTTGTGCCTTTTGCCTCTCCAGCTCCTTTCCTTAGTCACATGTTTTTCGGGCCAGAGAAGCAGGGTGAGTCTCAGAAAGGCCCCTGGCTTGCTACCTACTCTCATCATCAGGCCCAAACAGTTCCTTAGAATTTCACTCTGTCTGCCTTAACCTTTCTTCTGTGATCATCAGAGATTTCCTCTGTACTTACTGGACCACCAGCCTTAATATCTTACAAGATCAGACAAAGGATCACTCAAGCAGCATTTTCAAGGAGAGTTACAGCTGGCCAGTTTCCTGGCACCCTCCTTCCTTCTCAATCTTTGGCTTCAGAGGGGTAGAGACAACACTAAGGGATAGACTCAAAAGATCACCTTAGAAAAAGCACAGACAAGGTTTTGTGATATCCAAAGCAAATACAAATTAAGCAATGAAAATTTCAAGTATAAAGGAGCTGGAGACACTTCTCGTGTAGAAGTGGGGCTGGACAGGGAGAGGGGTTGTTAAGCCTTGGACCTTGGGCACTGTATAGTTAACAACTTAATGCCACCTTCCTCTTCTTCATCCCACACAGAGTGCAGCACAAAGGCTTCAGACAGTGCTGCAAGGATGTCACATAAGTACCCCTATGAGACAAAGCAGCTGCCCCCAGTAACAGTAGCTTGCCACTGACTATCCTCAGCTTGGCTTGGAGTCTCCCACGCGATGAAAACAATGCCTGAACTTCAGTGTGGATACAGCCAACAGGTCTACTTTGGGACAGGACCCACAGCAACTTGCAACCACAAGTAAAAAGCCTTCTTACAATAACAAAACATAGGTTTAGAAGCATGAAAGAAAGCAAAATAATCTGTAGGAGTAATCTAGATATATATGCACACTTTAGGAGGGAAAACAGATAAGAATCTTTCAGGTGAATTAGAGGTCATACACTTGCATAGGAATAATGCTTCTTGAGTCTACAATAAATTCATGATTAACATCTGCTTTCTTGGCCAAGGAATGCTGGTTTCTATTTTCCATAGCCCAACCCTTGTTCCTAGCTTCTAGACAGGTTTTTGCCTTTTACTTGTCTCTGTAAGAGAAATCATATTCTTTCCAATTCAGTTTAGATTTAATAAATATCTCAGCCTCTTATTTGTCCCCTTAAATTTATTCTCTCATTTAAAAAAATACAAGGAATTAAAAATTGCTAGATTTCTGCTAGACTTCTGCTAATCTCTCTCAGTTGCTATTATCAATATGGATTGCAGCCTAATTCATTTAGTCACAGATAGAAGAGAAGGAGTCTGCATTTCACAATGGTTTAGAAGTCCCCCAAAGCTTGAAAAGAACTTGTCAAAATCTTTAAAATGTTTCTGAAGAGAACTTTTCTGAGTAGCTAGAAAGACTAAAAAATTCCTTCCTCTTTTTTTTTTCTTATCAAGGTGAACATCATTCTCCTAAAGAAAAACAACAGCTGCCATACAACAAATGTCATTATTTGAAGGCTGGTTTGGGATAATGCAAAACTTGCCTTTGGCTTCTATGACAAAAGGCAGCCCAGTTCTGGAGATCTGTTAAGTATGTGCCTCACTTACAAGTGTGACTTGATAATCTGCAGTACTGAAAAGCTTTTCTTTCAAGGAAGAGAAGAAGGTTGTACACTCAGACTTCTCCTCATACTTCATGAGAACTGGGAGAGCTTAAACATGACTGACACAATCTGCACTTTTCCAGAAAGCAATGAGTTTTGTTTGTTTTTTATATTTCTCTCTGCCATATGCTAAATGTGACTACCATTTTACACTATTATAATATTTTGAGTTGGTTTGATTTGCTGTATATTGTTGCTTCTGTAAAAGATCTATGCAGGAAATTTAATAAAGTAATTTTATGTCTTCTATTCATTGCTACTACTTTTGCTTGCTGACAAATTAAATTCCAGTCATCTGAGTCAGCCTCTTATTTTAGATCATCATCCCATCTCAAGCGTTTTGTCAAATAAATATGCTTGTATGCGTAACTACACATAGAAACCTACAAGTGATCTACATGACACTGTCTCATTTTGTAAATTAAAAAAAAATTAGTTTTTCTAGAGTAATTTACTTAGGATTCACAATCACTTTCCATCCTAATTTTCAAAGCTATATCATTACCAAACTCCTATCTCCTATTGCCTTCTGCATACAGAAGGTATTTTATTAGCTGAGAGCCACTTCCTTGCTTCAGAGTTCTTACAGCCAAAGAGCCTGGCTATGAGTGGGAAGTGGCAGGTCAGAGAATTGCCCTGTGAATGCATCCCCACAACGGTCTGTACCAGCACAAGTGTGTGTGTGTGTGTATGTGTGTGTGTGTGTGTTGAGGCAGGGCACTGACCCTTTTACCCTTCCCACACCGTCCAGCCAAGCAGTCAGCCCTGCGCCTCCCGAGGCCTGCGCGGCTCCCTCTGCTCATTGAGCAGCCAGTGATGGGCCGGGTGATCTGACCCGCTCCAGAAGGCAGCTCAGATCCTGGCAGTGTTGTTCTGAGACAAACAAATAAAACAAAAGTCCAAGCCAAGAATTCCAGGAAGGGCTGAAGGAACAGTAGGATGCGGCCAAGAGTCAGAGGCATATGGGCTACTGCACCAGGCAACCAAAGAGGGCCAGGGCATGGGCCCAAGCACTGGCACAGCATCACCCGTTGCTCAGCTCAGTGCTGTCCTTGGCACAGACTTGTTCCAGGCAGCCAGCTCTCCCTCACACAATGCCTGGACACTTCCAGCAATAACCGGGGACCGTTCCCGATATACAGTTTGGATGGGCGACCTTGTTAGGGTGGGAGAGGAGAAGAATTTACGTTCAAAAGCAGTGACACTCCAGCTGACCTTGTGGCCAGTGAGTAGCTCCCTGGCTATCTCCCTGGCTATTTTATTCACTAATGTAGAAGCAATCTTGAATACCACAATTCATTCAGCACAGAGAACTTGCTAGGATGGGAACTGCCTCTTACTAGGACTGCGCCAACCACCCCAACACAGCAAACTCAGCTTTTCTCTATTCTTTTGCTCCCTGAGATATTTCTGTAGT